TACATTTAGTGTTCTTTACAGATTTTTCTAGGACTAATCTACATTCTCTGTATGAACATGGAGTTTCTGCTAGCCCAATAAATTTTTTGTTTTGATATCCGAACTTGTCAGCTGACTCTGTGTCCCAGCCACAGGACTGCAGTTGTTCATCCTGAGGGAACTCAACTGCTATGCCATAAACAAAATTTGGATCATCCTTCTTCTTCTGATTTTTCTCAAAAAGTTCATCCATGATGCTCTTCTTTTTGGCAAGTTCCTTGTCATCTAGCTTCAGGTCTGTTCAGGTCTTCCTTAGGATCAATGGCTGTGTCCCGTTGAATCTGTTCCATTGTTTCTGCCAAACTCTGCCCCCGCAAGTTACCTCGTAAAAAACGGAATAATTGCTCAAGCTGTCTCAGGGACACTTGTTCCAGGTAACTCTTGTGTCGTGGATTATTCTTTAATTGTTCAGCAGCTCTGTTGCAATCTGAAAACTTTGAAAAGTTTCGGACAGGCATGATGCGCTGGCGACTTTTCCCTTTCATTTCATTCTCATAGATTAGGATAATAGCTGGAGGCTGAAGCCTAATTCCCCATTTCTTGGCAGTGCACGTCATTCTCATATACACTTCAGGGTAAATGAGAGGAAATCTGAAAATGTGTTAGTCACATAATGACTTCCTGGACCTGGAGGTGGAGGCGGACAACTGGGCGCCCGGCTCCGTAGCCAACGTGCAGGGCTCGGGGTGCCCAAGGCCATTGCCACCAGCAATATACGTTTTTTAAAAATAGGAATTTTAGTAAGGTTGACATACATTTGTTATAACTAAATAAACAAAACCAATAAACTGTTACCAGTATACTAATAGGGCTTTTACATTTCAGAAAACTTCGCTTTTAGAACACTGGAAGGCAGATAAAGGCAGTGGAAGGAGAAGTTACTTGCACAGAGACCCATGGAGGATAGGAAGCTGTGCACTAGGAAGCAAAAATATAGACAGTAAGAAAGGAAAAAAAGAATATAGTAAATGCCCAGCTGGCATAGCTCAGTGTTTGAGCATCAACTTACGAACTAGGCAAATGGAAATGAAAAAAAAAAAAAAGCTGGGGTAGCAATACTTATATCTGACAAAATTGACCTCAAAGTGAAGGCCATAACAAGAGATAAGGAAGGTCACTTCATAATACTAAAGAGATTGATTCAACAAGAGGAATAATTCTGGTTAACATAAATGCACCCAATATAGGAGCACCTAAATACATAAAAAAAACTTCTGGGAGATATCAAGGGGAGAGATCGACAACAATACAATCATAGAAGGGGACTTTAATACCCCATTGACACCCTGGATAAATTGTTCTCAACCTTGGCTGCACATTAGAATCACCTGGGAATCTTTTTAAAATCCTGATTTGGGGGCTTCATCCTCCGGAAATTCTGTTTCTTTGTTACTAATGTTGTGGCCTCACCCCATAACAAAGAAACAGAATTTCCAGATTAATTTTGGAACTTAATCTCTGATACTCTCTTACTAGGAAAACCGAAAGCGTCATGGCTCTAGTCGAAGTGTAGTAGATATGGATCTAGATGATACAGATGATGGTGATGACAATGCCCCTTTGTTTTACCAACCTGGAAAAAGAGGATTTTATACTCCAAGACCTGGCAAAAACACAGAAGCAAGGTTGAATTGTAAACATTACGCCTCAAACCTATGAAATATACATTCTTCTCAAGTGCACATGGGACATATTCAAAGATAGACCACATATTAGGACACAGGCTAACTGTCTACAAATTCAAGAAGATTGAAATTATATCAAGCATCTTCTCAGAGCACACTGGCATAAAATTAGAAATCAACTACAATAAAAACAGTCAAACACATGGAGGCTAAATAGCATGCTATTAAACAATGAATGGGTTACCAAAGAGATCAAAGAAATAAAAAAACATTCTGCAAACAAATGAAAATTAAAACACAATAATCCAAAATCTATGGGACACAAAGCAGCCCTGAGACGGAAGTTTCTAGCACTACAGGCCTACATCAAAAAACAACAAAAACTGGTAATAAGTTATCTAACCCTACAACTTAAAGAGCACCGAGTAAAGCCCAGTGTAAGTAGAAGGGAGGAAATAAATGACATAGAGACCAAAAAATAAAAAAGATCAATAGAACAAAGAGCTGGTTCTTTGAAAGAATAAACCTCTAGCCAGGCTCACCAAGAAACAAAGAGAGAGGACCCTCTAGCCAGGCTCACCAAGAAACAAAGAGAGAGGACCCAAATAAACAAAATCAGGACTGAAAAAGGTGAAGTAACAACCAACCCCACAGGAATACAGAGGATTTAAAAAAAAAAGTACAAACAACTCTATTCCAATAAACTGGACAACCTACATGAAATGGATATGTACCTAGAAAAATACAATCTTCCAAACTCAATAAGGAAGAATTAGAAAAACCTGAAGAGGCCAATAACAACCAATGAAATTGCAGCAGAAATTAAAAACTCCCAGCAAACAAAAGCCCTGGTCCAGACGGCTTCACAGGGGAGTTTTGCCAAACATTCAAAGAATAACTAACACCAATCCACCTCAGACTATTCCAAAAAAGTCAAAAGGAAAGAACACTTCCAAGCTTTTTCTATTAAACCAGAATTACCTTAGAAAATTCCCTTGACACCTACCTCAGAGTGAATGAAATAGAAACATCCATCCCAAAACACGGGGTCATAGAATTTCCGAACGCCGGGACTGAAAAGAGAAGCTTCCAGAGAACTACATCATGTCATGTGTAAGGACTGGGATTCAGAACGTTTCAGAATTCTTAAGAGCAACTATCAAATTGTATATTAGTAAGAGTGTATTCTCAGACCTGTACATTTGACAAAAACTTTACCCCCTCTTTTCCCTTTTTCATCCAAATGTCCAATGTCATGTCAGAGGAAGTCATGGGCCCAAGGAATCAGGAAGGTAAAGGAGAATGAAATTGTCAGGGAGCTTGCTAGACACCAGGCCTAGGAAATATGCACTTCAAAATGATTAGGTGGCTAAGGCAGGTGTGAGGGGAGACACCAAGAACCAGAGAGAAGTGATCGATTATCTGAAATTTCCTCATTATACGGAAATTAGTTTTAGAAGTTAGAAACATCTACCTCAGTATTTAGAAATAATTCTAAATCGATAGTGCCCTCGGCGTCCCAGATCTCACTCTTGCTTCAACAGTGTTTGGATGGAACAGACCCAGGGACACCCCTTTTCCCAGGCTCTGACCCCCTTCCAGCATCTTATCCAGTCACCACCTTCAGAACCACCTCCGAGACCAGCCACCACCCGGTTTTCTTTTTATCTTAACTCCTTATTGCCAAACAACCATGAGCTCCCAAATTCATCAGAATTAGTCCACCAGGGTGGAGGCCTCAGTCACCTCCTGGCCAGCCTGCACCTGCGGGCTGCCTACACCTACCTCTCTCTGGGCTTCTATTTTGACCTCAACGGTGTGGCTCTCGAGGGCGTGGGTCACTTCTTCCGCGAGTTGGTGGAAAAGAAGCAGGAGGGCTCTGAGTCTCTTAAAGAAGCAAAACCAGTGTGGTAGCCGCATTCTCTTCCAGGACGTGCTGAAACCGTCCCAGGATGAGTGGGTAAAACTCAGGGCACCATGGAAGCCGCCATGGCCTTGGAGAGGAACCTGAACCAGGCCCTTGTGGAGCTGCCTGCCTTGGGTTCTACCCGCGCAGTCAGCTCTGTGACTTCCTGCAGAACCACTTCCGGGTGAGGAGGTGAAACTCATCAAGAAGATGGGTGACACCTAATACCTCCACAGGCTGCCGGCCCCCAGGCTGGGCTGGGCTAGTATCTCTTCAAAAGGCTCACCCTCAAGCACAACTAGGAGTCTTTGGAGCCCAGAGGCCTTTCAGGGGCCCCTCTACATTCCCCTTGTGTCTGGCTTTTGCCTGAGCCTCTCTTCAAAACAACTAGCCATTCTTTTAACTACCCTGAAGCCCTCTCCCATGCATTGGGCCAAATGTAAACAATAAAGCTTTTTGTAGCAAACAAAAAAAAAGAGAAAGAAAGAAAGAGAGAGAGAAGTTTAAATCAAGATATAGAAAATTATGAATTGAATGAAAGAATCATGGTTAAGTCCAAGAAAGTACCAAAAATGAAACATAATCATAGTCGTCTTACCAGAGAGGATTGTTTATATAGTCAGAATGATGTTGAAATGTGAACTATATCGGAGAAAATAGAGTAAAGGGAATTGTGTGTGTGCCTGTGTGTATTTTGCATGAGGTGGGAATGGAGAAGTAAATTCTCACCTTCCATACCAAGAAATAAGATATTGTCTAAAAATAGTCAAGTAAAAAAAAGAGAGGGAAAAAGATAGTAAAGCAATGAAACAGCATTACTGAAAAAAGAAAGTAGACTATCCCTCTTGTCCTCCACTTACACTTCAATATTCCATGCAATATTGAAGTCATGAGCTTCAGATTCTAAAAATAAAAACATAAAAAAATTCAGAGATCTGCAGGACCAGTAGAAAGCATGTCTTGGATGGCAGAGTCACTGACAAGAGTTAGTGATGATGCCTCCAACAGAAACCAGGAAAGGTGACTCAAGGAACTTTCTTACAAGCCATTGTCAGTAAGAGGAATAGGCAGAAAGCAGAGTGTGGGTGGACTTGAAAATATTGGCTACTGACAAAAAATATCTTAATTTTAAATGTTGATTTAATTAATATTCAGTCAGTTTGTAATTAAGAAGGGGAAAAAGGAAAACAAAAAGCAAAACAAAATCTAACTCATGTTTTAAATTCCCCATTGAGTGGGGGGTGGGGTGGAGGGAATCATCAAAAAACAAAACTCCATTAAAGGAATTATCCAATAGAATTCTTTGAGAACATAACAGTAATAACATTAAAGAAGAATTTATATAGGTATTGTATAACAAATTGCATATTTTAAAGCAATAGATGGAATAAAAGAGCATTGATGACACAGCAACCATTTTGGAAAAGGTATCTGATAACAAAAGGAATATAAGAGAAGGAATGATTATGAGAAATGATTCAGAAGACAAATCCTCAGAATTAAATAGCTGACTTAAAATGGAGGTCAAGGTAAGACAGCCAATATCGAGGGTTGATATGTTATTTACATGGCTGTCATGGAAATGGACATTTCTTCCATCATTCTTGATACAAAGTAACATTAATAGGTTAGCCCTTTGAATATTTATAAGACATAGTCCCTTCTTTCCACATATCTGGATAGCTTGTTTTTATTTATAACTGAAAACCACTTTTCTTGGATAGTGAAGAAATAAATTAATAACTTTAGGTAGTAAAAATAACCCAAATGAGGCCTCTGATCTAAAAGCTTGCCCAAATTGAGAATGACTCTATTTTTAGGACTTGGCTTTATTTTCATTCTCTGCAAATAATCAGTGAACATGTATGAAGCAACATATAAAGGTTTTTTATCAAAAGCACTGTGTAATTGTTTAAAAAAAGAGATAATCCAGCTTTTCATACGTAGGGAACTGGTTAAATAAATTATTGTGCATGTATGCCATGATAAATACTACGCAGACATAAGAAAAAAATGGCAAAGCTCTTGTGTGCTGATAATAAAAGATCTCTAAAGAGATATGATTAGGTGAAAAAAGCAGAATACAGAACAGCCTATAGTGTGCTGCATTTTATGAAAAGAAATAAGGAAAATAACAATACATACATGCCT